ACGTCAGACCGGAAGCATCTCAAAATCAATGAAAGGCGCCATGTTAAAAGGGCGAAATTAAATTATTCAAAAAGTTACTGGAAATAACTTGATATTCTGGGCGCCTGTCAGCAGATAACGGCAAAATCTATCCAGACTCGAGACACGAATGAAAACAAAAACGAAATAACCACCCACAGTAGTGGGCAGACCTTATTTTTCAGCTTAAGATTAACACCGCGATAGCATTACAGGCTCAAGCACAAAAAACGAGCCTCGCTCCATGGCGGTAACCATAAGTGCAGCTGCCAATTGATTGGTACACCACCCAAAAGATGTCGATGCCAGACAGAGAAAAGTAACAACACTCCTGGGCTCATTAGCACCTTTGGTATAGGTGCAGAAATGGATAAGTTACAATGGTGATAGGCTTATAGAAGAATGAGAAAAAGTAAATAGACTTAGGCGAATACAATAACTCACATAGGCACGGAAACAAGCCGTTTTAAAGATGCAATAAGCCCGCCATTTCGTAACCAACGACTCTGGAATATTCTGCAATCCAAGTCCTGTGAGAGGTAGTGGGAAAGGGAAGATTAATTTCTCAATTTTGAGGGCTGAACAGTAGTTGTTAGTCTACATGACTATCAAGCGAACTTCCTCGAAAATGGCAGAAATCATAATAAAAAATTAAAAACCTCGCACTGCCTTAAATATGTGGTTCTCAGTGTTTAAACAAAAAAGAAAACAAAACAAAACTGCAGAGAAGCAAAACTTACTGCACTTTTCATACAAAGTGGCAGTTTCGCATGCTAATGGCGCAATAATTCCAGGATCATGTTTCAGTTCCATAGCACGAGCGATAGTTACTGGAGAACGTTAAGCGGGGAACAACATTGTTACCTTCTTGTGCCTCTGCCAGACTCTGCAAGATATAGACATCGAGAACACAGGGATCCAAGTCTGATCCACTTTCTACTTTGCCCTTCACTTGGCCCAAGAGATCCTTCTTAATGTGTTCAAACAGACCAGCTGCATTTCTCAATGATTTGTACACTTCAACGGCTTGCTCCATTTCAATGCTGTGAAGGTACTACTGTTAGGATAATCAGTAAAATTAAGCTACTTGTTGCTTGACGCAATCTTGGCGGCGTGTTTGGAGAACCAAAGGGCCAAGTTGAAGAGAATGCCAATTAGCTCAAAAGTAGCATCGCGCATAGTTCTAATAACTCAAATATATACACAAACAGAGACA